CCAGACGAGGGTGAGGATCGGCGCGGGCAGCCCGGCGAGGAGGCGGGTGTGGATCGCGAGGAAGCTGTTCTCGTAACCGACCGCCTGCCTCAACAGCGCCTGGGCGACGGCGAGGGGGTCGACGTAGAGGACCTCGCGGAGGAGCCCCCCGGTAGTACTCCACGTTCTCCGCATTCAGCCGTTTGAGGGACTGCTGGAAAAGCGCCTCGAGCTCCTTGCCCCGGATGCGATCGTGCGGATGACGGCGAGGGAGGGGGGAAGGGGGGAGGGGGGGGGGGCATCCACCGCCGCGTCGTCGTCGGCGTCCTCGCCGCGCTCCGCCTGCGCGGTGATCGCGGCGGCCAACGCGGAGCCCGAGGCCGCCGCGAGGGCCGACGGGGGCAGCACATACGGCAACCACTGCGAGGAAAAATGCAAAAACCCCGTCGTGGAGTGAGGGGAGGTGAACCCCACCTCGCCCCCACGCGTCTGGAGCACGTCAAAGATGCGTTGGATGTGATCGTACACCACGGGCGACGGCGGCATCATCCGGACACAGGGCATCACCACACGCGCGAGAAACAGCTCCGTGAGCGCGAAACACGATCGCGCGAACTCCACCCCAGGGGGTTCCGCCGTTCCAACGGCGGATTCCGTCGTCAGATCGGATAAACACCCCTCCCCCACGGCCTCCTCGCAAAGCGTTGCCAGCCGCGCGACTAACGGGATCAAAAGCGTCTGCGTGGCGAGGAAGGTATTCGCGAGCTCGAGCAGTGGAAGGAGCTCCATTAGCCATCGAAATTGACCTCGAAGCGAGGACGACGAGGAGGCGGTGGAAGGGATCGAGCTGGAAGAAGGGGAAGGCGAAAGCGAAGGCGAAGGCGGCCCCGCCTGGGTGGTCGGAGAGGCGCGATTGGACTGGCGAAGGGGGCTCGCGGGTTGCTCCCACCGACTCAACCGACGCGTGAGGGTCTCGATCAAATACACCTGAACGTTCACCTGATGCTCGAGCGCGCGTTTGGGGATGAGAAAGACGTTCGCGCTTCGTGGGAGGTCCTCCTTTTTGGTTGTTTCGCCCGCGTTCGAGGTGGAGGGGAGGAGGAGGCTGTGGATAAAAAGCGCCGCCCAGGAGTAAAGCCGCGGCGCGAGGAGCTCCAAAACAAAACGGCAGGGCGAAATTCGCATCGGCGAAGCCACCACCCCTCCTCCGGAGGAGGGGGAGGACATTGAAGGCGTCGGAGTGGCGGCGAAAAAGGCCCCCCACGTTGGCTTCTCGGCGGGGTATTTCATTCGACAAAAACGCGGTCCATGGAGCTCACCTTCGCGCGGGATGGAATCGATCAACGCGCCCGCGGAGGAAGGCTTCTCCGGGGCTTCTCGTCGTCGCGCGCGTCGGGTGGGGGCGCCGCCTCCTCCCCCGCCTACCTCCCCTCCCTCGCCTTTTCCCGCCGTTAACTCAAAAAAAAGTTCACTTTCCACCCCATCCGCGTAGCGATCCATCGCGGCGGTATAATCCTCCAAGGCCGTGCATGGGAGCGTTGGTTCAGGGCTCGTCCACCCATTTGACGCCGCCGGCGGCTCCCGCGCGAAGTGAAAAATAAACAACGCCGTCGTCAAATCGCACAATCCACTCATCAACGCCGCCATCGCGAGTTTTTCCCGATGCTCCGCCTGATGCAACGGCGATAATCCGATCCGCAGTTGCATGCTAAACGGCAGGAGATGACTTTCCACGAAGCGATCGATCCCGATCCGACGCAGCAGCAACCCCACCGGGGGGAACTCCCGCAGCCGCCATTCGAGCTCGCCGCAGTGCTCCACCGCGCGCGGCCGCACCCACCGCGCGGCGGCGGTTTCCCACGCGCGAAACCCCCCCCCCCTGCGTCCTTTCGCCCGCCCTCGGATTCGCGGGAACTCCCCGCCGTGAGGGTCCAGACCGTCGTGGAAGGGGGGGTCGAACTCGATC